TGTTGAAAACTCTCATAATTCCCTAAGGAAATATCCACATGAGGGGTTTTTCAGACCTAGCTTATTTACTTACGCCTTATTTAGGAACGTTAGACAAATCAAGCAGATGAATCTGACAGTGTAGTGACCGAGCCGTAAACCTAATTTGTATAATACTGCAGTACTACCCCATGGCCTGCATACAAACAGAATTGCTTATCCACTTTTGTGTAATGTCATACACTTTTTATTTTTGGTGTTGGATGCTTTGCATAATTTACATTCCGTCCATTTGTATGATCAGTTCTCATTTATTTCACGAAGCAAGTTTTGAGACTCAGAATGGTCAAAAATATAAAGTGATTTATGTGTTCAAAGTATAGATGATGCACGTTACATCTCTCCTATAAAATCTTTCTCAGTCAGTGACATAATGTTGTGTTACATCCGTTGTTCTTGAAAGACCCGCTGTGTGTCGCCAGTGGAACATGTACCCCGTTGCTCCTAGACAGAGACGCTAGGTGGGTGAAAGTTTTCGTGTCCCGTTACCAGATATTTGAAACGATGTTAGAAAAACTGACTTTTTTCTGGTTTTCAAACAAGGACTTTTCTCTCTTCTTTAAACTTGAGTAACTGACGATCTAGAGCAGTCGGATAGGACAACCTCTGGTCCTCATATACCACCGAGAACCTTATTACTCAAATCAGTAATTTTCTCTTTCTGTTTTAAAGCGTCTGTTGGCAAATCGTCAGGCTAGAAACAGCTTTATTAACTTTGAAGACAGTTAGATAACCTACATCTTAATCTGATTTAGACTGGATGCTGCGGAAATGAAACATTGTTGTAAGTTAAACTGTCCTTCAAAGTTCTAGTTGCCTGTCGTAGAAGGTTATCAGGATCCCGCCCTTTTCAAGCATGGTTTCACTAACCATCATTTTCTTTTCCAAATAGCCCTAATAAGTTCAAATAACTACCAGGTATTACTTGGTTTTAGTGCAGTTTGGTAGTTTGCTTGTTTTGTGACTATTATGGAGTCTGAGAAAACTAATATTGAACACACCTGATCCAGAAAAACAGAAGGAAACACAAAAACGGATAGCGAGGTTTATTGGTACGATTTCTACCAGATTGTCCACAAAATGAACAACATAAATACGTAAGCGCTTTATAAAGCTTCTGATCGTTTAGCTACGGCATCCTGAGTGTGAAAGAGCACGAATCTCCACGGAAAAACTATGGTGAACCAACGGAAGGAAAACTGATGTGACCTCACAGATGTTCCAGAGTCTAAACAACATCGACACCTGACGCCTTCTTCATCTCATTCGCTTTCTCTAACCAACATTGCTCACGATCATTGTAATTACCTTCAGTCAACTTACGCTTGAGCTGCTTCCGCTCTTCATTGTGGCGATAGTTGATTGAAACTAGTCTTTTCACTCCAATTAGTTTTCAGAAATCTCCTGGTTTGTGCAAACTTCTGGATGTAGGTTATCCACCGTCCCTCCCCTGTTTTCAAAACAGACTGCGTATGACGTCAGTAAGGTGATCATAACCACGTTCAGATAAATGCTTAGCTATCTCCTCTGTAAACACACACTTGGTGTTCTTATGTTCCAATCGATCATACAAAGGCTTCACTGCTTTCCGTTAATACGATAAGTAGGACGCTAAAATTCACATGCTCGTATTTATATTATGTATCTGGGTCCACGGGTGGTCTGACTTCGGAAGACGCAAAGCTTGACGTGACTGCTGGTAGACATATATTGTTGAAAACCATAATTATTGAGAAAAAATGCTCAGTTATACTTAAGTAGGATAAACTTCAGTCACTAGGTTTTGCGAACAAAAGGTAGCAAAGAATTTCTTTAGTGAAAATACTGAGTTTGGACCAAAATTTGTATGAAAGGCCCTTGTTTTCAGCCTGATATAGTCATGCAAGTGGCAAGATTTATGAACAGAAACTATAGATGCGAAACAATTCAACCCAAATACAATATTCTCGACAGCTTAGCTATGTTTTGGAATTAACACTGCAGCAAGCTTACTCCTTATTATGAAAACTATGTTGAGTTTGTTCATCTTTTAGATTCGTTACTAATTATCTGCTCCCTTGAAAATCAGTAAAATATTCCGATGACAGCATAATTCTTCATAAAGAGGTTGGTGGAAGCAAAAGTACATGCACCATAGACGTAAACACAATGGATGAACGACACTTAGTAGTTCTAGGTTAAATCGTTAGTGTGCTGACTGATATTTTTCTTTAGAAATTTACAGCATTGTATTTCATCATAAAGAATAAGCAGAGGTATTTTCGGGAAGCATGTAACACGACTAGAAAATACCAGGAGTAATAAGTTAATCTAAAACTTGTCCTTTTACCCTTACTTTCACGTTTTTACTACGTATGCATCTCTTTACTTCATAAACTCCCCCAGAATCGGAAAACTATTCAATAATAGTATTTCGAGTACAGACAGCCTAGGCAGTTAACAACTTGAGATTACTATAACTGTGAAGGTTGAGATACAGTTACTTGTGAGTTGGAAAGTATAGGATAAGTTAAAGGTGCGAAACTAGATCCTATTATTTCAAACTATCCATTAGTATACACATCAGTCGGTGGTAATCGTGGCACCTATGGTCCATAAATACCGGGAAATTAGGTTTTGTGCTACAGAAAAGCAGATCTTTTTTATTACCACAATGAAGATAGTTCTTTGCACTTAGGAGGTTGCCTATCTTCACCAACCTGACTAAACATCTACGAGGAGATCTGGAAAATGAGCTCACCGAAAGTCTTAAGTATGTTTTCGAATACACATTAGTTTGGCGCTGAGCATCAGTTGTTTATCAAAGACTTGTAGTACAGATCCTTCCCAAAGAATGAAATAATCGTTGATAGAAACTAACCGTAGGGTTTTTTTGAACTTAAGATCTCTTCAAGTAACAAATGAGGGCATTTTGTAACATCTGTACAGCGCAAGTTGGATCAGATTTCATAATCATTGGGTTTTTTTAATGTAGAAAAGTTCCGGTACAAGCAAGCTTACATTCATTTGTCATAGTGACAAGGCTGTTATGCTACAAAGCCATGACAATCAACAGGTGATTATGAAAATTTACTAAAAACAAGTTTCCAATATATGTTTATCTCTTTCAAAACGGATCAGCTTCCAAAGGGTTATAAGTTTTGAGTTATCAAAACTCTAATACCCTTCCGACCGGTTTATATAGGGAGGTGAACACCAAAAGTGTCAGAAATGGTTTCCGAAAATTTTAGCTGTACATATTACAGAACGAAACCAACAGTTAATACTTTCGGAAAAGCTTCGTAATGCAAAAGAAAGTTAAACAACTATAGCAGGTAGATTATGTGCACAATGTCAACCGTAGTCAGACAGATACGATCAATATACGACCACTCATTACTGCATAACGGTCGACGTTGCCACACCTCATATCAAGCGAGAAATCACTAAGATGAAAGATAAATAAAGAGGAAAGGAGTCAGCGGTGGAAAGTTGAGGAAATAACAAGGAGGAATACAAAAATGTTGATTTCAGTATAGCGACTGAGACGAGAATAATTTGTAGATATATCTGCGCCACTGACATCGATTCCGAGCCATATCACCTAGTCCCCAACCTCTGATTTCTGCTGTCACGAGGACTCCAACCGGAGAACCTGCATTTTCCTGTAAGGCTCAAACCAACAGTCAAAGACTTAATAGAAGGATGATATGTTTCAGTCTGGCCACCCCTCACTATTTTCCAGCCTAAAACTACTTAAGCTAACATTATGCAACGAGGCAGACGGTGACTAGGCACGTTTAACACATGTTCTAACCATGTCAGCTGATGAAGATCCTTATATCTGCTAGACTGTGATAACTAAGCATCGAATCTCCAGAAACTCAAAAGATGAATTTCCTAAATTCATCAAACAGGTCAGGTGAAGTAAATAACTGCGCTTGGTTCTTGTATGCATGTCTCACAAACACAGGACACCCATAGTCTGAGATTCTAGAGTCTTGGCTAGCGAATGTTGTTTGCCGAATTCACGGGGGATACAGACATTGAAAACGTCAGTGTACAGTTTGGAGCGCGAATTCAGGAGACCAGGGATGCTCTTCCTTGAACTCAGATAGTTTTCAAGAACGGGAACACAATAAAGATGATGCAAGAATGTTGACGTAGAGACGTGAAGAAAGATAAAAATTTGAGGATATGCAAGGTGGACAGTGATCTGAAGGAAATTGAGTCCTAACAGAGTTGAGAGAGAGGTTCACACTTCCCGGTTGCCCCAAATAGTAGATGAAAAACACAGGTATCAATATGGATGCTGAAAACTGTACCTGCAACCGATGAAAAAATAATGCACTAAAAGCTTTTAATAGAGAAATTCAATTTCAAACGATTCTCAAAAATACGAAGGGAAATTAATACCATTAAAGAAATATTAAAAAGTAATGTTATCGAATCAATGTAAGTAAAAGTGAAAAACATAGTAATGGTAAGAAAGATACTGGCATGGAAAAGCGTATACATTCATGTTCAGTATTTCAACAGTTTGCAAAGGACACACAGTATTCGCGACACAAATTAAACACAAATGTCAATTAACACAGCCGTAAACAGGGTGAAACAGTAGGAACTAGCAAATTCAAGGAAAACAGTTAACGCTTGTTTAATGATCATAGATATGAGATGGTGATAATATGAACCAATGTGTTGGTCAAGATTTTACACGAAACGATTGTCTGGTGTAATAATAAGCAAACAGAGTCAGTGTGATTATGATGGGAATAACTGTCGGTTTTATATTATGCAGGCTGCACGCACAAGAAAAACTTGGGAATGAATGATGAAATTTAGCTGAACACGACAACGAAATGCAAATAGCAAACTCGTCTTTGGGGAAAAAATTCGTTAAAACGAGAGTGTAAACAAAAAAATGAACGCGATCAGGTAGCAGAAGTAAGGTATACTTTATACAAAGAGTTTCTGTTTCTTTATTTTGGCCTTCGCCTCTTTAAATACATACGTCTACTTGAACATTTGAAGTGTTCCCTTTGAGGAGTTAACGATTCCTCGAATTGGTCGTTTCCATGACAAAGTTGACTGAAAAAGTCGAAGTGGCGTAATTCTGTAGAAGAATTACGTTTACAACAATCAATTTCAGCAGATAACTAGAAACAGTGATAAAATTGAACAGAAGAAAAAACACCGAAATATGAATACGTTAAGGAAACCTTTATTATTATTATTATTATTATTATTATTATTATTATTATTATTATTATTATTATTATTATTATTATTATTATTACGAGACGGATGAACAGAATGGAAATTTGGTCCTGAGTTGTGACAATGACAGTTACCAATTCGAGTTGTTACACAAGATACAAGTAAGAAAAGACTCTTTAAACACAAACTACTCCTATTTAATATGTTCCTTATCTGCATGTAACTTTCTTTGTCAGCTTGGACAGCTACTACGAACAGAAAGCTTGAAACTTAAGAGTAAAATGGGAGTGAGCGGCAATCTCTACTTACAACAAAATATACAATATCTGCGCTTTACCGAGGCAGGGATATGTAGGTTATGATCAGCTGTAGAAGGGTTTAACACTATCCACTAATTATAACCACATATATAAGCTGTAATAATATAATGCCTAAGAACAAATAATCATGAAGACTAAACAACAGTTATAGCATACTTAGAATGATTTAAATCTCATCCTAGTTTAACAACTAGGCCATAACCTATCCCTATATTACAACAACCTCGCCTGGTTAACTAGTTCACTAGTTACTAGCCGGTCATAAGCTCGGGGGAAGGTTGGGCATACGGATAGCAACCCTAACCCGTAAAACAAATCTAACCGCTAAAAAACCTCAAAGCACAAACCATATATAAAAAATAATAACAAAATTATTCCTAGCTGGAATCGGAGAGGCGAAATGATGCCAGTTGGTGAAGGTCTGCCTTAGGGAAGCCAATTGGCTGATGTGTCTTCTCTCGATGAAAGCGAAAGTAAGCGTGGCAACATGGAATGTCCACACAATGCTTGAACCTACCAAAACTACCCAGATTGCCAAAGAGATGAAGAGGTATCACATCGAAGTGCTTGGAATTTGCGAAAGCAGATGGAAGTGGAAGATAGAAGTGGACTCTCCAATATTGTCACCCACACAACAACCACAAGCACACTGAGTTTTCGAGTGGCTATCATGATGTCCACAACAGCATCAAAGCCTGTCTCTCATGCAGTGGGAACCAATCTCCTCCTGCAGGATCAGGATCATGACAACAAGATTCAACTCGAAAGGAAGGAAAGTCACAATCAATCAACGCCACGCTACGCACCTACAAATAATGCAGATCAAGAGAAGATGGAGGAATTCTACAGACACCTGCAATCAGTACAGGACAAGACGCGAGTTGGTGACATCTAAATTCTGATGGGTGGGGTGACATGAATGTCAAACTGGGAGCAGACAACACAGGAAGAGAACCCATCCATCATGGGTCGAGAAGCACTCGGTGAAATGATGAATTAGAAGGGAGAACTGTTTGCAGATTTCTGTGCATTCGACGATTCGGTGGTTGGAGGTACTGTGTTCAAGTACAAGGATATCCACAAAGCGACATGGATTTCACCAGACAACAGGACACACTAAAAATCAGATCGACTTCATCTCAATCTCAAGAAAGTGGAGACACAGCCTACTTGACACGAAGCCTACTTGTCAAGAAGAGGAGCAGATGTAGGTTCAGACCACTATCTAGTGCAAGGAACCTTCCAAGTCAAGTTAAAAGCCTTCAAGGAAGCTGGTGATAGACCGCAGTTCAAGTACAACACTCGGAAACTGAAGGACGAAACTACAAAGGAAATCTTCACGGCAGCCATTACGACAAAATGGGAGATATCCAGAAACACCCCTGAAGAAACCTGTGTGGAAGAACACTGGAAGTCTTTGAAAGAGATGTGGAAAGAAACCTGCATAACCGTGTTAGGAAGGAAGAAGAAAGAAGACAAGGAATGGAATGGATCTCGACGGACACATGCAAGCTGATAGAGCAAGGAGAGGAGGATGGTAAAGCAGAAGATAAACTAGTGCAAGGATGCTCAACGACAAGAGGAATTGAGTACAATGTACAAAACACTAGACAAGAAAGTGAGGGAGAGTGCGCGCAAAGACAAAAGACACTTCTACGAAACACTGGCAAGTGAAGCAGAACAGGCTGATGCAAGTAGGAGAGACCTGACAACATCGTATCAAATAACCAGGTTACTATCTGAGAGGGGAGAGATCAACACAGATGAAACCAATAAAAGATGATGAAGGAAATTTAATTACCAAAGAAGAGGAACAAAGGAAACGACAGACTGATCACTTCAAGAAGCTCTTGAATAGAACACCATCACCATCTACCTACACTTCATCCAGAAATACCACATGCAGCCTAGCCACAGAACTACAAGTGAACACAAATCCTCCAACAAAAGTCGAAGTCATGTGTGCCATACAGCTACTGAAATGCGGGAAAGCAGCAGGACCAGACGGGATCCCGCCAGAAGCACTGAAAACAGACGCAGAGACAACAGTGAACATGCTCACACCATTATTCCAGAAGATCTGGAAGGAACAGAAGGTACCTGGCCATTGATTGGAAGAAGGGTTACCTTGTCAAACTCCGAAGAAGGGCGACATGAGTGTTTGCAAGAACTGGCGCGGAATCATGCTCCTGTCCACCTCAACCAAAATATTAAGCCGCATCATCCTGGAGAGGCTAAAGGATGCACTGGATTCAAAACTACAACCGGAACAGGCAGGCTGGCTGGAATCAGGAAGTACTAATCATGTGCAGACCAAATTGCAACGCTTCGCATCATCATAGAACAGAGTATAGAATAGCAGTCAACTCTATACCTCAACTTTGTCGACTTCAAAAAGGCCTTTGACAGCGTCGACCGAGAAGTAATTTGGAAACTGCTTCAATACTACGGAATACCACAAACCTTTATCAACCTCATTCAACAACTACATGAAGACGCCACATGCCAAGTAATTCACAATGGGAAGCTCAGTGATGCTTTTGAAGTGAAGACAGGAGTGAAACAAGGTTGCCTACCATCACCCATGATATTCCTGATTGTGGTGGACTGGATCATGCAGCAAACAGTGAGGAGCGAGAAGAGGGGGATACACAGGACTGCGGAAAAGAAACTAGAAGACTTGGATTTCGCCGATGACTTGTGTCTGATGTCACACAAACTTGAAGATCTACAGGCGAAAACTCACAAGTTGACAGAAGAGGCAGCGAAGACGGGACTTCAAGTGAATATAGAGAAGACAGAGGTGATGAAGATGTCCAACCAACAACACCGCCAACAACAACAAACTCCAGTCACCATCAACGGGAGAAACTTAAAGGAAATAACCTCCTTCACCTATCTAGGCAGCACTGTTTCAACTACAGGCGGCACAGACGAGGGTGTCAAAGTCAGAAACGGAAAAGCAAGACAGGCGTTCATTAGCCTGAAACCAGTGTGGAGATCTTCTACACTGCACTCAGCATGTGGAACAAGATCCGGATTTTCAACACCAACGTCTAGTCAGTGCTTTTGTATGGTTCAGAGACTTGGCGCGTTACGAAAGGGATTTCCAATAAACTACAGACATTCATCAACAACTGCCTACGCTGGCTGGTTACTCAAGTTCAAATGGCCAGAAAGAATAAGCAACAAGGAACTCTGGTCTGGCGACGAACCAACCAAGAACCTATCACCCAACAAATATGCAGGAAGTGGAGATGGATTGGGCATACACTGAGAAGGCCGACTGGGGACATCACGCGTCAGGCCAGGTCGTCGAGTGGAACCCCCATGGGAAGCGACGAGTTGGACGTCCGAGGGTGACATGGGGATCGTGCGAGGAAGAAATGAGAGCTTCTGGGCTGTCGTGGAGCCAGGTTCAAAAGATTTCAGAGAACAGAGTTCACTTGAGACGTGCTACTGAAGCCCTATGTTCCATTAGGAACCCAAGGGACTAATAATAATAATATTACAACACTTAACTGACTAGTTGAGTGGAATACATCGAAGGATAGTCCTTGATAAACGACTTAAATACTTAGTTCGACACGAGCAGATGAATCGATAAATGCACATTGAATAGGTCAGTCTTGACAAATAATTCTTCACAGAGACAAATTAATGTGAAATTATAGTAGGTTGTTCAGAAGGTCATAGACATATGAAAACTGTGGAACTGATCACTCCGGATTGTTTTTCACAACATCAGTAGCATTATCCTTTTTGAACTCTACATTCATGTAATGTGCTAATGAATCAGAAAGTATACTGATCCGCGAATAACAGATCATGATCTCCATGTAACTCTGATCTACCTCTGTGTCAAAGATACATAACCATGATTAAAAATTCAGTGTATTTACAAATCCAGCTACTTTCGTGGAGCTAGGTATGTAGATCATCCACCTACGACTGTCTTTCAGTAAAAACGCTCATCAGGGCTAACCAAAGGGTAATGAAAGTCAATGATATCATCTGTCTTACAACACGTAGTAGATTCTGATCATTCAGCCTCAGATTCTTCACTCCACACCATCTATAAAATGAAATCAAACTTTGCAAACTCATTATACATTTAAGAAGCTTTGTCAGCTCGTAATTTGAAGTCACAGCTGTGCATAATGGCTAAATCCGCGACGAACCAACCAAGAACCTATCACCCAACAAATATGCAGGAAGTGGAGATGGATTGGGCATACACTGAGAAGGCCGACTGGGGACATCACGCGTCAGGCCAGGTCGTCGAGTGGAACCCCCATGGGAAGCGACGAGTTGGACGTCCGAGGGTGACATGGGGATCGTGCGAGGAAGAAATGAGAGCTTCTGGGCTGTCGTGGAGCCAGGTTCAAAAGATTTCAGAGAACAGAGTTCACTTGAGACGTGCTACTGAAGCCCTATGTTCCATTAGGAACCCAAGGGACTAATAATAATAATATTACAACACTTAACTGACTAGTTGAGTGGAATACATCGAAGGATAGTCCTTGATAAACGACTTAAATACTTAGTTCGACACGAGCAGATGAATCGATAAATGCACATTGAATAGGTCAGTCTTGACAAATAATTCTTCACAGAGA